CTTGTAAATGGGCATTTGTCAAGAGCAGTGGGAGTACACTGCGGCTCCCCTCCTGTGTGTGGCTTGCATCGAACCACTGGCACAGGTCTTGAGAATGGACCAACGGATCAGTGGGGTGGGTATCCCGGGGAGTGGGGGGATGACCGCCAAGTGCGTTTTTTTACATGGACGATGTCAACATTTTATGCACTGACCTTTTATCTGTCGACAGGACTCTGGACAGGACTGACTGATACGGATGAGCCTCTGGGGCGAAACTGAACCGAAACAAGACAGAGGCCCAATTTTTCAGACCGTGGGCAGACTCAGACTTGACCAGACTACCACTGACAGTCAAAATGACGGACATAAGGGTTTTGGGGGTAACATTTGACAGGGAGGGAGGAGGTAGTGGCAATTGGACCGGGATTTAAGGGACTGTAAGACAGAGACTGGGTTTTTGGGGACTGAGACGGCTGACTTTTGAGGGCAAGGTTTTAATTATCAAGGCTGTGATCTTACCTGTGCTTTTATTCATCAGTTCTGTTTTTATCCCCCCACGAACAACTCTTTTAGCTCTGGACCGGATGTTGTTTTATTTCCTGTGGGGAAGCAAGTGGGAGAGGCTGAGGAGGGAGGTGGTGAAGAGGCCCAGGCTCAAGGGGGGGAAAGGCTTGCCTGACCTCTACTTGTTCCTGGGGAGCCGCTACACAGCGTTACATCTCACTCTCGCCACCTCCCCGGTCAGCAACAAGACCCAGGCCCTCGCACGGTTCTGGCTGGGGTCTTACCTCAGGTCCCTGAGGGTGATCCCAGTCGACCTGCGAGCCCCAGTCTCTTTCATGCTCTCCACACACTATGTCCAGCTCCAAAAGTTTTTAAGACATTTTAAACTGGAAAAGGAGCCTGTCACAGTTTTAACTAAACACCGCTCTCTTCTCTCTCTTGTTTGGCGCAACAAGGCCCATCCTGCTCTGCTGAATTGGCCCCAGGACCTGTCCTGGATGGTTGCCCATGAGATCCTCCCGGTCAGGGCCGTTATGCACTCCCGGGGCATGGCGAGGACATCCGCGTGCCCCCGACCAGGCTGCGGCCAAGACGAGTCGGTGAGGCACTTGCTCTGGGAGTGCAGAGCCGCAAGAGACCTGTGGAAGGAAGCAGGCCCCCTGATCTCCCCATGTTTGCCAGCAGGGGAAGACCTAACGCCCCAGCTCGTGCTGTATGGGGTGGGCCGAAGGCCTATAACGCAAAAGGCCTTCACAAAGCTCTGGCCCACCCTCACGTGTCTGAAGGACGCATTATGGTCCTCCCACAACCTGCTGGTAGGAAAACAGGTAGAGACCACCCCCCAGGAAGTGGATTTGGTAGCCACGGAAGCCCTGGGGTGGTATGAACGAAAGGGGGCCTCGACCCCAGGCGAAGGGTCCCCCACAACACCTAAGGTCCCGGCGGCCACGGCCTGACAGCACTGCGGAGCCTAGGGCGATGCGCCTAGGGGAGGGGTCTCCTCTGGGCCCCGACGGATAGGTACAGAGTCGATTCGGAAGAGCAGGAGGAGGCTGTTTTTATAAGGACTCACCCCGTTCCTGTACAAAGGACCGAAGACAGCTTTTTAACAAAGTGACTTTTGACAGGCTTTCCATGTCTTTAAAATGTTTCACTTTGTTAAATCATTTATGCACATTTTAAATGGCTTTTTATAGATTGCCTTTTACAAGAAAGGGTACTTTTATGCATGATTGTTTTATTGTTTTAAATAAACAACTTGTACCTTTTTAAATGTAATTGTAATATAATGCTGGTTTTTATGCACTTTATGCCGTTTTTATGTGTGTAAATGAATTAAAAATGTGAGCTGTTTCAAAAGGAAATGTACAATAAAAACTTTTCCAAAAGTAAAAATCTGTTCTCATCAGTTTAATATCTGATACGTCCCCTATCTGGGGACCATATATTCAATTGATTTTTGGAACAGGGAGATGAGAAAAAAAATATATATATCTGTTCTTATCAGTTTAATATCTGATACCTCCCCTATCTGGGGACCATATATTAAATTGATTTTTGTAATAGGTAGATGGAATAGGGGCTTGCTCCGTCCACTCCACACATCGACCTGGTATTGCAGTACCTCCAGGAACGGTGCACCCCCTAAAGTTGTCAAAAGAAATACAGTTTCATCTTCAGTCGGATTTCACATGCTTTCTTTGCTCAGTTACTACTGAAAAGTGATGAGATTGTGCAAAACTGTCGGCCTACAGAACTTGTTATTGCAACAGTGAAACACAAGATTGGGCAACATAGCCTACGATTCACAAAATACAGCCAGCTAAGATACTCAGTATAAAAAGTATTATAAAGTACTATCAGCTAAGGTAGGTCAAAACAACCACGTATCACAGTCAGGCTATTTGGACTGTGGTTTCAGTATGTGCATGGTTTATGCATAAATTCGTGAAACACTTACTTTTAAGAAAAACTGTTCTCCCACTTACTATTAACAACCCAAGCTTTGTTACTGTAGCCTACTTCTCTGTCTTGTTCTGGATGAAGTAGTAGGCTACTGAGTCACTATCCCCCATTTACATTTTAGCAGACGCGCTTATCCAGAGCGACCTGCAGGAGCAATTAGGGTTAAGTGCCTTGCTCAAGGTCACATCGCAAGATTTTTCACCTCGTCTGCTCAGGGATTTGAACCAGTGACCTTTCGGTTACTGGGCCAAGGCTCTTAACAGCTCAGCTACCTGCCCTCCTCATATCAGATCTGGGGGTCGTATGCCACCCTGTGGTTGATGGTGTAATTGCAACATGGTTTACTGAGTACAGAACACAAGCATGAGAAAACGACTATGCTGATAATGCCTGGAATGCTGTGTTCCAGGCAAAATAGTGGGTGTCATTCATTTGGCTGTGTGTGTATGAACCTGATTTGAGCATTTTGTTACATCGCCTACTTTTGTGATATCAGACAGAAGTTTAGATTGGCTATTAAAAATACAATGTATAAATCATTTATACCGTGTTGCATGATGCGAAAATAGTCGGACAGTGATATAATCTAGTAAAACAACAGTCATCACTTTTCCACCACTCTGTCCGCAACTGCATTCGTAAACGTCATTAAACCCTAGTCGATGTGATAAGGTATTATCAGGCAGCCAAAGTGGTAACCCTCAGCCGAAAACGTTTGCACTCGAATGGCTCCCCCTCCACCGACACGTAGAACTCATACTTACCTGGGAAGGGAGACACCGTGATCAAGAAGGCGGTTCACCCAGGTTCAGCCATTGCACTACGGCTGTGCTGACCCCTGCAATTTCCCAAATGTGGAAATCTCGATCGCATAATTTCTGGTAGTGGGGGACTGCGTTTGCGCTCTCCCCTGATAATTTGTGGCCCCCCAAAAAAGGTTTATCTAGTGGTAGTGCCATGATAGTTTGGGCTAGTATCGCATCTAATGGTGTGCTGTTGTGCCAATAGCATCATGTGCCCTATGCTTGTGTGTTCTGTTTTATTATGTGGCCCATAGTCACAAAAATCCATAACTATTGGTGCTGAAAACAACTGAGGTTGCCGATGAGAATAACTTTTGAGAGTAACTATTTTCACTAGACTCAAATATATGCTCTGGAATGTAAAGAATGGTTGTACCACTTTGGTTGCGCTCTATCTGCCTTTGTTACAAAGTAATAGCTATATTCCCTCTTTTTTTTGTTGAGCAACTGACACATTCACTTATAATGTGTACCGAGAGTTATTCCTTAATTTACGGCCATACCAACTTGACTCGCCTGATCTCGTCCGATCTTGTAAACTAAGCAGCGTCGGGCCTGGTTAGTACTTGTATGGGAGACCGCCTGAGAATACCAGGTGCTGTAAGCATTTTGCTCCAGTAGAGTGCACTGTTTGTTGCATCAAGCAACTGAAAAACATTTGAACCCGCAGCAAAGCAAACCGGGCATAAAATTAAACACCTGCCGCTTGCCAGATGCAGGTAGATTTAAGTATTGGCTTGTAGGAATGTGTATTTCAGCAGCCACGTTGGTGTGCGGTCAATTTTCAGGGCTCTACAGTGCGAGAGTTACATTCGCATTTGCAAATAAACATAGTCAAAAGTCAATCATGAGCACATGTGCGAGTTGCAATTTATAGCAAATGCAAAAGGTTTATGAGGCTTAAGGCCTTGCACAGGGCCACACGTAACCTCAGCTGTGTATGTTTTTACTATAAACTGTTTTACTATTACACACGCTGAGGCTTTTAATCAAGAAAAGGGGGATGTTTGGTAATGTAACCACAGGAGAATGTGTACCTAACACGATGCAAAACAGGTGCAGCTAACGGTACTGGGGATATGTGGAACTTGTTAGTTCATTAGCCTGCAGCTGCTCATGTTCCATGAGGCGCTGTCAACTAACAGCAAGCACTATCAATCACTCAATGGTTGAACTGTACATTATTCGATTATCCACCCATTGACCATTTGCACACATACTATATTAGCTTAATGTTATACTTCTAATCCAGTTATATTAGCTTTATAAACATAGCAGTTTCTGCTAGTGTGTCTGTCAGCCGTCTAACAAATAGGATTAGTGGGCAAGCTCAGCTATGTTAGCTGGCGGCAGCAGGACCTGGCCTGGGGAATGTCTGTCTAAGGTCCGAGGCCAACTACCTGACAACAATGGAACCTTGTGACTGAACTATTGTGGTTTCTATTCATTCTGTTTTATTGCAGGGGATGAAATGTTCTCTGACATTTACAAGATCAAAAAATCACCAAATGGGATGTTATTCGAAGTTGAGGGAAAGGCACATCTCCACTGCAGGTATAAGCTCTCTGAGTTGTGGTGGTGAGAGGTGAGGTGTATTAGGATTTGGAGCCAGTTATTGACTTGGTTATCATCATAACTCAACTCATCGTTTTACACTATGCCTGAGTTTACATAGACAAGTCCTATCAGATGGTCCTGAAGTAGAATAAGGTGTTTGACAGTAATGGGACCCAACCACTGAGTGATTCAGCACTCACTCTCCTCCCACCCCCTTCCTATCTTCCTCTGGTATTTCTCCTCTCCTCCCCTCAGATGGTCAGTAGAACGGAGAACATTGATGGCTGTCTGCTGGGGGCGAATACGTCGGCAGAGGTGCAGGATGACAGCTGCGAGTCCAGCACGGTCAGTGGAGTGGACATTGTCCTCATCCACGAACTGCAGGAGACATCCTTCACCAAGGATTCAAGGGATACATCAAGGACTACATGAAGGCGTGAGTGTGTTTTAGTGAGAGATCCAGGCTAGCCCTATCAATCCCCCTCTGCCCAGCAAAACTCTGATTGTATTTTTATTTTTTTTCACAGACAAACACATCTCTCTGGATCTCCTTTACATATGTCTATAGGAGAGAGGCAGTTTAGGGTTGGACTCTTTACAGTATCCATGTTCACACAGCTATTGCCTGCACCCTTATTCTGAAAACTAGAAGAAGCATCTACCTGTCTACTTCTAGTGTCAAAATCAATAATGTCCACTACATGTCAGTAGTGGGTAACAGTTGACGCTTCTCCTCCAGATACAGATAGAATAGAAATGCGTTCGGATTCTGTCCTACTTATGTGCGACTAATCAGGCCTCAGGTAACTATAGTTCACTCTGACATGCTGGTCTCCGTGTGAAGCACCCTGGAGAATGAGGGTTACAGTGGTGGAGTTTAACCAATCCTGGAGAAGGAGGGTTACAGTGGTGGAGTTTAACCAATCCTGGAGAAGGAGGGTTACATTGGTAGAGTGTAATCTATCCTGGAGAGCTGAGCAGAACAGCTCGCAGTTTACACTCACCTATGGTAATGCAATGTGTGTGTGTGACTAACCACAGGTTGCTTGGCGACCTCCACCAGGTCTTTGATGTTGTAGTGCTGGTGTTTCTCGAAGGCGGAGAAGAGCATATCCATCACTTGCTGTCTGTCTGCCCTCACCATCCTACCCTCAGCCTTCTTCTTCTCATACTCCACCTACACACACAACACACAGCCCACAGAAAACCCACACAGGGGCAAGGAGGGAGCATGGTAGAAGTGCACATTACAGTGTTGATCCAACACTATAAAGATATTCATGTAACCTTCAGGAGTATGCAAGCAGGCAGATACACACACACACACACACTGCTTTTTAATATGTGATATGGCAGTGTTGTTACGTTAGCAACATGGTTGGATACAGGTTTGAAGTTGTTGGTGACAGCCCTGTCTATCTGCTCGGTCAGATGCTGGGGCTTGGTAGACACCTCGATCTGTAATCTGTGGAGAGAGGGATACAGAGGAATATACATGATAACATTAACACACATACAAACACCTCTGAGAAAAGCAGAGAAATTAATGAAGATATAGGGTCTCATTGAGAGAAGCGTCCCAGCGGGTAGAGCAGTGGATGAAGACACAATGGCACACACTATGTTGTACAATGGTTGAATAGTGAATATAGCCTACTAGTATAATGCACAGGACTGTCACTACTGTACATATACAGACACTCAGGCAAGCATGCATGTTCTCAAACACACAGAGAGAGAAGAGTTGCTATAGCACACACAGAACAGTTACTATAGCAATCCCTGTCAACCTCAGCTACCATAAAACAGTATGGAAGACATTTATTCCATTATTAGATATTCTCCTGGACTTAGATATGGCTACTGTTCCTCCACATCTACTAAACTCACTCAGAAAGGAAGCCAGGAGAAATAGCCCATCTATCAGTGATGCTTTATTTTACAGTCGCCTCATTATATTTAGTTGTATTGAATTTTGTTTCACTCACTTCTTCAATTTCATGTAGTTTTCACTGACGGCAGGTCTGCACTCTGCTCTCTGTACCACTATGCCCTCCAGACTGATCTTACAATACATGTTTCTTTCAATGACAGGCACAAGCACACACTTAATACTTAACCCTATTCAGCACTGGATTGGACTGAATCTGTTAAATATATGCAGCCAAAATTATAATATTTGGTTATTCTGTCTGTGCCACTTGACTAAATCAACATAGAACGAGGTGAAATAAGTGGCACCACCCGAACTGGGTACTCTACAGCCAACACTCCAAAACTCCACTCACCAACTGCCATTGGAATGCTCATCAACAGCTTGACATTTCAAAATGTAGTGATTCATCTGTTTGGGTTTTTCTTTGTCATGAAGTGTGTGTGTGTGTAACAAAAGTGTGTGTAACAAGGGGGCGGGGATAGGTTCACAAGATGGTATGAGACACTTTCATACAGAGATAAGGGGATGGATACACTGTCCAGCCTTCGCCCAACAAGCGTTCAAGAACAGCCAACAACCACTGAAGTCCAGTTGGTGTCCGTTGGCGTTAGTTGGCTAATCTCATGTTTTGTTCTACTGAAACAAAATGTTCAGTTTTCATTTGTTGGTGCTGTAAAAAATCTGTGCAACTTTCACCAGGAGGCTCCAGAGAAATCACTTTACAGTCCAATGTCACAGATCTCACTCACTCACTAATATCCATTACTCACTGTTTTCACAAATGGACACAATTATGTGCAATTATTGCATGATAAGTGCTGGAACACTTGTCGGTGCATCTCCATAAACACGCCTACACACAAACGCATTTCTCAACTTCAGAGCAGCCTGCCTCCAACTATCTTGCTAGTTACCCACAGGCCACTGGCTAGGGTCACATGGGTCAGGATCGTATGGGAGAGAATAGTATAGATCTCCTCTCTCCTTATCTCAACTAAAGGCTCACTCTTCTTTTCACTCTCTTCCCATCTTCTCCCTCTCATTCTCTTCACTCAAGGCTCCTTTTCAATCCTCTCTCTTCCTGTCTTTTGTCTTTAAATCTATCCCCTACTCTATCCCCCTCTCACCAGACTGCTCATGCCTCTTCTCCTGTAGGACTGTACAAGACTGGGAGTGTTCAGGGTTTATGCCCGTTTAGCGTGGAAGGAATTAGGCTACAACTTGCAGGTCCCAAGAGACACTGGTATGTAGGAGAGCAAAGCTGCACATGCAGAGATGGAAAGAGAGATGAAGTGGAGCAGAAAGAAAGAGTAGGAGTAGGAAGGCACAGTGAGAGGTGGAATGCCCACAGCACTTGTTGCTCAAGGCTGCTGAGCAAAGAGGGAGAGGAACGGGAGGAGAGAGAAAGAGAGGGAAAGAGAAGAAGCTTCCGCTCCCTCCCTCAAGCTTCTGCTCCCTCATCTTCTCCCACCATCTCTAACCACTTATTTGCTCCAAGGACCTTCCTTAAAGCCTGCACACACACACTCTGCCCCCACTCCCACCACAACCTACTACTATTCCCCAGACACCTCCCTCTCTGTATCTGAATATTCCAGAAGAGAATGAAATTGTGAGCTTTCAGATTTCTCAAGCCTCTGGTGAATCTCAGATAGACTACCAAAAACCATCAGATAGAAAAGTGGCTCTAAAGAATGTGTTGAAAACTGACAAAGGTGATAGTCAGATGATTGCGGTATTTATCCTCGAGGTGACAGCGACAAAGCCTTTAACACAGAGAGAGGGAAAAGAGATAGAGAAAAAAGAGGAAACCTGTTGACTCGATCGACTACTACTATCAGCCTGCGTACAGGAACAAGACAGACAGTCTTATGATCTCTCAGATTACACAGTAGTGTCTAACTGAATCCTATGTCAAAAACAAACAGCTCATGCACCTGCTCATCATTTATTTTTAAATGTTGTTTTATTTAAACAGGGAATCACACAATAAAAACATACAATATTTACACGCAATTTAAGAAAAGTAACTTACAAAACACACAAAAACTACATTTTAAAAAGCGTCTCAGACAGAAAAAACTCATAATGAATGCAGCTGCCACTCTATTGAAGCCATTGGACGCAGTTTATAATAGCACACTCTGCTTTATTATGGGCGATAGGTTCAGTACATATCACTGCATTCCTTATCACAGGGACAGCTAACTCTGGAGATCCCTTTGGTCTCCACTGAATTAGGTAGATCTGCGTAAAGTTTTCTGGAGATCATTACACAAGGTGCAAAAAAAACTTTACGCAGGTCTACCTAACTCAGTGGAGACCAAAGGAATCTCCAGAGTTAGCCATCCCTGTGATCGGGTCTGGTGACTCTTGTCTTTAATTTAAGTCTACAGGTCTACAGGCAAGTCTACAGGTCTCAGGCAAGGTTACCTTAGCACCTCTGCTACACACACACCTCATACATGACATCTATGTTCCTCAAGGATACTGTTGCTATACCAGCTTCACTGCAGTTTGTGTTACAGCTCTGTCTTGGCCAGTAACATTATGAATAATTCAACATCTTTAATGAAAAGAGAAAGTGATTTTACTGATGGGAATCCACAATACCGTTCTCATTACTTTGAGGAAATAAAAAAAGAAGAAATGAAATAGCTTCCGACATGAAGTTGAACAATTATCCAGGGTAACAATGGTGAGATAGGGCTGGGAAGGAAAGCAGTTCATCCACCCACCCACCATCTCTTCTCTGCTGTTCTTCCATTCGCTGTTCCACTGCCTCATTTGAAATTCTAATACAGGGATGATTCCACTAATAATATTATGATTAAAAAGCACCACGGTACGGTCGAGCCGCCTCGTTGATTGCTGACGTGCCTCTCAGACGTCACCATAGTGAGCTGTCACTCTGGGATCATAGGCTCATCAAACACTGTGCAACGTCACACACGCACCGGAAATTAACTGAACGGAAAGGTTTGCCAGACTGCCACACTGATTGTCCACAGGTACATTCATTGAAGGGGATGAGTGAATGAAAGTCGGGCCTCCACCTCTGGAGACAAGAGAGAGGGGTTATTCTATTGGATAGGTTGTCTCTCTGTCAAGGGTGTGTGGGAATGTTCTACACCTGGATTCTGGGGTGATTGCTTGGTTTAATTACAATTTTAACACCGGCATACACACACCAAATCCTTCTGTATAACTGTGGACAACAACAGACCAGCTCCAAACAGACTTCACACTGAGAGAAAAGACAGCCTAATTACACATCAATCTCACTGTTTACTATAATGACACTTCTGCGCCCAAAGGAGAGAGTGATAGATAAAGGAAGAGAGACGAGGGGGTTGAGTATCATCACTGTCTGTCTGTGACAGCCCATCACCTGCAGGACACACACAATCTCTCTCTCTCTCTCACCTCTGGGAGCAAAACTGCCAAACACACACACCACTATTTGTTACAAGTGTCAGGCGAAGACATTGTCCAGACAGTTTGTCATGGGCAGCCCATGTAGAAACATTGTACTGTATTGATTTAAGCTCCTTGCTCCATGTTCTGGAGGCTAACAATATGAGTCTATGACTCACCATAATAATACACAAGGCCTTCATACACATCACAAGCCTCTCTTCCTTATAGAGCAGTAACAGAGACATAACCCTCAGTTTAGACCTAATTACCTTCCAGTCAACTCCCCAGGCTGTGGGTGGATACAGGAGCATGTGGATTAATCAAAGACCCTACAGGCTCAGACCCTGCCTGCCTGCATTCACCAGTATTTAGGCGCACACACACACTTCTCTAAGGGGTTTAGTCTTAGGGAGATCTTAACCAACTGCATGTAATCTTGGAGAGAAATCAGGCCATTTGTGTAAATACACTTTAATTTACATAAATACCCACAATCTGCCCACTTATCCCCATCTCTCTATCACACTGCCAGCGAATGTGCCCACCATGCTGCCAGTGAATGCCCACCAAGCTGCCAGTAAATGCCACCCTGAACAGAGCTGTAAACATGGTTTGTAGTACACATCTGACTGCAGAAAGTCTCTACAGCAGAGATACTTTCACAACTACACTGTCTTTCACATTTACATTTACATTTTAGTCATTTAGCAGACGCTCTTATCCAGAGCGACTTAGTTAGTGAATACATATTTTTTTATACTGGCCCCCCGTGGGAATCGAACCCACAACCCTGGCGTTGCAAACGCCATGCTCTATCAACTGAGCTACATCCCTGCCGGCCATATTGTGCGCCGCCCATGAGTCTCCCGGTCGCGGCCGGCTGCGACAGAGCCTGGATTCGAACCAGGATCTCTAGTGGCACAGTTAGCACTGCGATGCAGTGCCTTAGACCACTGCGCCACTCACATCACCAGGTTCCTAGGATTACACTGCCTGCCACCTCCCCCCTCTCAGTCTGAGGGCTGGGGTTGGGGAGAGAGGTTTGTTATCGGAGTTCCCTGCCACGACAACCTCCTGTGTCTGTGTGTGTGTATATAGGGTGTGTGTGCATGTTCAGGGGCCTCCTGTGGTCTCACGTGGGGAAGCACAGCTGGGGAGCTTTTTCATCAGCGGGAGGAGAGGGCTAATTACTAAGACTGGGAGATAGAGAGAGAGATAGGGAGAGAGAGAGGGAGAGGGGTAGAGAGAGAGATATAAGAAAGAGGGAGGCTGGAGGAGAATGAGAAAGGGGGAAGAGAAGATGGCGAGAGAAAGGGGAAAAGACAGAGGGGGAAAGAAAAGAGGGGGTGTAGAGAGGAATGAGAGAAAGAGGGGAAAGAGATGTAGAGAGTAAGGAGAGAGCGGCAAGGAGAGCACCTGCCACCCTTTCAACTCGTCGCTTTCTCTCTCTCTACACACTCCCTCTCCTCCCACCCTGTGACGGAGGGCGGCCCCCCTCTTTCTCCAGCAGAGAGAGAGAGAGAGAGAGGTAAGAGGGAGGGAGAGGGAAGAATGTAAGAGGGAGGAGAGAGAGAAAGGGAGAGGTAGACTCATTCTGCTACCAGTGCGCGCTGCGCTCCTCTCTATGCCAGTACCTCTCCGAGTCGCTCCCACACACACTCACATTGTTACTGCACGCTACACACACTTATCCTGAGGACCCCAGACAAAGAGACTGTGCGGTTGTTGAGCGGGAGCGGCATGGAATGGAACCTCAGAAGGATGGACAGTGAACTTAGACAGATCAACTCAGACCTGCTGCAGCCCAGCAAGAGCATCAAAAAGCCCTCCTCAGGAACCATCACCCTCAACGTAGGGGGCTTTCTGTATGCCGCGCACCGAACCACCCTCAGCCGCCACCAGGGGTCCGTGTTGGAGGAGCTGGCCAGTGGCAAGAAGACCGTCCAGCACACTGACTCCATGGGCAACCCCTTCATTGACCGCGATGGCCCCGTGTTCCGACACATCCTTAACTTCCTGCGGACCGGAGACCTGCAGCTGCCCGACGACTTCAGAGAGGCGGGCCTTCTGAGACGGGAAGCAGAGTTCTACCGCCTCAGCGGATTGCTGGAGGCCATTTTGGAGTGGGAGGGGATGCGGGCAGCGCAGCGGGAGCCCGCCTTCCTGGAGGTGACTGACGAGAGGTCGCAGGGCTTCAAGGTGTACTGCAGTGACCCCACTTTCATTGACAAGGTCAAAGGTCGCCTGGTTCAGATCTCAAAGAGCCGGCTGGACGGCTTCCCGGAGGAGTTTGAGGTGTCGTCCAACGTGATCCAGTTCCGCCACTTCATCAAGTCGGATCCGGGCTCCAGGCTGGTGCTGAAGCAGGACAGTACCTTCCTGTGTACCCTGGAGTGTCTGAAGCTAGAGACGGTGATGCTGGCCCTGAAGGCTGGCTTCTCTATCATCACCTCTCTGGACAGCAGCAAGGGATCTGTGGTGGCCGCAGAGGCACTGCACTTTGTCAAGTAAGAGAGGGAGGAGAGGGGAAGAGAATGGACAGGGAGGTAGAAAGAGAAGGGAAGAAGGGGAGAGAATGGGGCAGGTTACAGGCAGGTAGAGAGGGGAACAAGAGGGAGGAGAAAGAACACACCCTCTCAGAGGAACAGTCTCCTACTGGATTGCATCAAGCTGCTTTTTCCATCCTGGCTGCTCCCCCTTCAAACCAGCCTTTGTGTGTACAGTGAGGTATTACAGTGTGTGTGTGTTCAGTGGCTGTGTTTAGTTGCTGTGTTCTAGTTTTTAGTTGTGTGACCAAGCCTTTTTCTGGATCCTGAGGGAAGCGGTAGAGTGGAAGAGTGTACTGACTGCCATACTGACTGTTGCTGATTATTGGACAAAACAATTGTTTTATTCCAGAAACTTCTCACACATAGCCTGACTGGATGAGAGGGAGGTCAATGTGCTTTGCAGCAAAGATACACAGAGGGTTTAGACCCAAGGGTTCAAATCTAGCATGATGTATGTGCAGTGAAGATTTTCAAATCAGAAACCAACTTTGTGATTGTTTGATTGCTAGTGCTGTGAGTGAATAAGTGACAATGTGTGTTCTTTTGGATATGTGAATGTTTTGTTTTACACACAATAAAAGTAATGAATATTGTCAGTCATTACAGTGCCTTGCAAAAGTATTCATCCCCCTTGGCGTTTTTCCTATTTTGTTGCATTACAACCTGTAATTTAAATTGATTTTTATTTGGATTTCATGTAATGGACATAGACAAAATAGTCCAAATTGGTGAAGTGAAAAAATAAAATAAAAACTTGTTTCAAAAATTCTAAAAAATTAATAACGGAAAGGTGGTGCGTGCATATGTATTCACCCCCTTTGTTATGAAGTCCCTAAATAAGATCTGGTGCAACCAATTACATTCAGAAGTCACATAATTAGTTAAATAAAGTTCACCTGTGTGCAATCTAAGTGTCACATGATCTGTCACAATCATCTCAGTATATATACAGTGGGGGAAAAAAGTATTTAGTCAGCCACCAATTGTGCAAGTTCTCCCACTTACAAAGATGAGAGAGGCCTGTAATTTTCATCATAGGTACACGTCAACTATGACAGACAAAATGAGAAAAAAAATCCAGAAAATCACATTGTAGGATTTTATATAAATTTATTTGCAAATTATGGTGTAAAATAAGTATCTGGTCAATAACAAAAGTTTCTCAATACTTTGTTATTTACCCTTTGTTGGCAATGACACAGGTCAAACGTTTTCTGTAAGTCTTCACAAGGTTTTCACACACTGTTGCTGGTATTTTGGCCCATTCCTCCATGCAGATCTCCTCTAGAGCAGTGATGTTTTGGGGCTGTCGCTGGGCAACACGGACTTTCAACTCCCTCCAAAGATTTTCTATGGGGTTGAGATCTGGAGACTGGCTAGGCCACTCCAGGACCTTGAAATGCTTCTTACGAAGCCACTCCTTCGTTGCCCGGGCGGTGTGTTTGGGATCATTTTCATGCTGAAAGACCCAGCCACGTTTCATCTTCAATGCCCTTGCTGATGGAAGGAGGTTTTCACTCAAAATCTCACGATACATGGCCCCATTCATTCTTTCCTTTACACGGATCAGTCGTCCTGGTCCCTTTGCAGAAAAACAGCCCCAAAGCATGATGTTTCCACCCCCATGCTTCACAGTAGGTATGGTGTTCTTTGGATGCAACTCAGCATTCTTTGTCCTCCAAACACGACAAGTTGAGTTTTTACCAAAAAGTTCTATTTTGGTTTCATCTGACCATATGACATTCTCCCAATCCTCTTCTGGATCATCCAAATGCACTCTAGCAAACTTCAGACGGGCCTGGACATGTACTGGCTTAAGCAGGGGGACACGTCTGGCACTGCAGGATTTGAGTCCCTGGCGGCATAGTGTGTTACTGATGGTAGGCTTTGTTACTTTGGTCCCAGCTCTCTGCAGGTCATTCACTAGGTCCCCCCGTGTGGTTCTGGGATTTTTGCTCACCGTTCTTGTGATCATTTTGACCCCACGGGGTGAGATCTTGCGTGGAGCCCCAGATCGAGGGAGATTATCAGTGGTCTTGTATGTCTTCCATTTCCTAATAATTGCTCCCACAGTTGATTTCTTCAAACCAAGCTGCTTACCTATTGCAGATTCAGTCTTCCCAGCCTGGTGCAGGTCTACAATTTTGTTTCTGGTGTCCTTTGACAGCTCTTTGGTCTTGGCCATAGTGGAGTTTGGAGTGTGACTGTTTGAGGTTGTGGACAGGTGTCTTTTATACTGATAACTAGTTCAAACAGGTGCCATTAATACAGGTAACGAGTGGAGGACAGAGGAGCCTCTTAAAGAAGAAGTTACAGGTCTGTGAGAGCCAGAAATCTTGCTTCTTTGTAGGTGACCAAATACTTATTTTCCACCATAATTTGCAAATAAATTCATAAAAAATCCTACAATGTCATTTTCTGGATTTTTTTTCTCATTTTGTCTGTCATAGTTGATGTGTACCTATGATGAAAATGACAGGCCTCTCTCATCTTTTTAAGTGGGAGAACTTGCACAATTGGTGGCTGACTAAATACTTTTTTCCCCCACTGTACACCTGTTCTGAAAGACCCCAGAGTCTGCAACACCACTAAGCAAGGGGCACCACCAAGCAAGCGGCAACATGAGGACCAAGGAGCTCTCCAAACAGGTCAGGGACAAAGTTGTGGAGAAGTACAGATCAGGATTGAGTTATAAAAAAATATCCGCAAAACTTTGTACATCCCACGGAGCACCATTAGATTCATTATTGAAAAATTGAAAGAATATGGCACCACAACAAACCTGCCAATAGAGGGCCGCCCACCAAAACTCACAGACCAGGCAAGGAGGGCATTAAATCAGAGAGGCAACAAAGAGACCAAAGATAACCCTGAAGGAGCTGCAAAGCTCCACAGCGGAGATTGGAGTATCTGTCCATAGGACCACTTTAAGCCGTACACTCCACAGAGCTGGGCTTTATGGAAGAGTGGCCAGAATAAAGCCATTGCGTAAAGAAAAAAATAAGCAAACACAAGGCATGTGGGAGACTCCCCAAATATATGGAAGAAGGTACTCTGGTCAGATGAGACTAAAATTGAGCTTATTGGCCATCAAGGAAAACGCTATGTCTGGCGCAAACCCAACACCTCTCATCACCCAGAGAACACCATCCCTACAGTGAAGCATGGTGGTGGCAGCATCATGCTGTGGGGATGTTTTTCATCGGCAGGGACTGGGAAACTGGTCAGAATTGAAGGAATGATGGATGGCGCTAAATACAGGGAAATTCTTGAGGGAAAACTGTTTCAGTCTTCCAGAGATTTGAGACTGGGACGGAGGTTCACCTTCCAGCAGGACAATGACCCTAAGCATACTGCTAAAGCAACACTTGAGTGGTTTAAGGGGAAACATTTAAATGTCTTGGAATGGCCTAGTCAAAGCCCAGACCTCAATCCAATTGAGAATCTGTGGTATGACTTAAAGATTGCTGTGCTCCAGCGGAACCCATCCAACTTGAAGGAGCTGGCGCAGTTTCCCAGTGGTTAGATGTGCCAAGCTTATAGAGACATACCCCAAGAGACAGGCAGCTGTAATTGCTGCAAAAGGTGGCTCTACAATGTATTGACTTTGGGGGAGGGGGGGGGGGGGGGGGGGTGAATAGTTATGCACGCTCAAGTTCTGTTTTCTTGTCTTATTTCTTGTTTGTTTCACACCAAAAAATATTTTGCATCTTCAAAGTGGTAGGCATGTTGTGTAAATCAAATTATACAAACCCCCCAAAAATCTATTTTAATTCCAGGTTGTAAGGCAACAAAATAGGAAAAATGCCAAGGGGGGTGAATACTTTCGTAAGCCACTGTACATGATTATCTTGAATCTTGTTAAATATTACAGACATATCATATTTGCAAAATGGTTTGGAATATGTTTTCCACAAGACATGGAATTTGTGTTCATTCTATTAAATAGTACAATGGGACTTGGAAATACACTGCATTCGGAAAGTATTCAGACCCCTTCCATTTTTCCACATTTTGTTACGTTACAGCCTTATTCTAAAATTGATTAAATTAATTGTTTTCCTCATCAATCTACACACAATACCCCATAATGATAAAGCGAAAACAGGTTAAGAAATGTTTGCAAATTTATAAAAACAACAACTGAAATACATTATTTACATAAGTATTCAGACCCTTTGCTATAAGACTTGAAATTGAGCTCAGGTGCATCCTGTTTCCATTGATCATCATTGAGATGTTTCTACAACTTGATTGGAGTCCACCTGTGATAAATTCAATTGATTGGACATGATGTGTAAAGACACACACCTGTCTATATAAGGTCCCACAGTTGACAGTGCATGTCAGAGCAAAAACCAAGCCATGAGGTCGAAGGAATTGTCCATAGAGCTCTGAGACAGTATTGTGTCTAGGCACAGATCTGGGGAAGGGTACCAAAAAATGTCTGCAGCATTGAAGGTCCCCAAGAACACAGTGGCCTCCATCATTCTTAAATCGAAGAAGTTTGGAACCACCCAGACTCTTCCTAGAGCTGCCCCCCCGGCCAATCTGAGCAATTAGGGGAGCAGGGCCTTGGTCAGGGAGGTGACCAAGAACCCAATGGTCACTCTGACAGAGCACCAGAGTTCCTCTATGGAGATGGGAAAACCTTCCAGAAGGACAACCATCTCTGCAGCACTCCACCAATCAGGCCTTTATGGTAGACTGGCCAGACGGAAGCCACTCCTCAGTAAAAGGCACGAAAGCCCGCTTGGAGTTTGCCAAAAGGCACCTAAAGGACTCTCAGACCATGAGAAACAAGATTCTCTGGTCTGAAGAAACCAAGATTGAACTATTTGGCCTGAATGCCAAGCGTCACGTCTGGAGGAAACCTGGCACCATCCCTACGGTGAAGCATGGTTGTGGTAGCATCATGCTGTGGGGATGTGTTTTAAGTAGCAGGGACTGGGAGACTAGTCA